AATCGTTGCACCTTTGATTGGATTGGTTATGATATGCCAAGAATTAAAGATAGAATCATTCATAACATGTGGTTCTGGTATTGGAATACAAATGAAGGATATGGTCTTTCAAAGGTAGATATTCTATAAGACCTAAATCTTTTGGTTTTGTAAAAATTTTAGACCATACAGTTGATGGACTCCACCACTACAAGGTAGTGTGAAATTGAACTTTGATGGAAGTTCTCTTGAAAATCCGAGACCAACAAGAGTTGGAGGACTAACTTCAAATCCAAATAGCAAGACTATTTACCAATTTTTTGGTCCTTGTGTAGAAGCTACTGCTAGCAAAGCTGAAACCAAAGGGCCTATGGTACCTGCTACCCACCCTTCCTAACCGATTTGAGAATCGTGTGAACGGAGAGTGGGCAGAAGGGAAGAAGGTCCTCATAGGAGTTGCACACTTGAGCAGTGCGAGAGTCTGCGGAATGGGTCGAGTAAACTCCCTTGGGGGCCGAAAGAATCAGAGACGCAGTAAGCCTTTGATTTGATTGGTATTAGATTTTTTTCTTAGTTATTGGAAAGGAGGGGCCTGAGTATAGTATAGAAAGGGAAGGCAGAGGTAGTACTTCGAACGGCGAAGAGAAGCGGCTCGGCAAGGGAGGAATGGTTTTTCGTCAAGGAGATGGGGGAAATCGTTATTAGCAAAACGAAGATGCCAAGCAACTAGGTGGCTACTTGTATGATGTCCAAAATCTTTTGGAGAATTTTTCTTCCCATAGAGGAGTGGAAGCTTACTTCACGTCACTCGCTTCAGAAACTGATGCTATCCTTATCAGGGAACTGTGTCAAGAGTTGCAAGATCTCCTCCTAGGTCTTGTTGCGCGAGAACCTCAAGCGTGGACCTTGAAGAGGTCTACCAATTCGTTCTCGAGGAGACGATGCCCCCCGCAGAGGGGAGCAGTCGAAGCCAAGATGAGTGGGAGATCTCTCCCTTGAATGAGAGACTGGAAGAGGTTCACAATCTCCGATTTAATTCATTTGCCTTTAAAAAATTGACAACGAATGACTTAGATTTGGAATGAGCTATGTGGACCCCTCTCCTCTTTTCATTCAACGAAGGCAATAACTCTTCCGGTTGCAAGACTGCTCACCTCATGGCTCTATTATGAGGTGTTAAAGTTTTGAGAGACAAATGTGCTTATTTAAGTTGGGTGGTGGAAGGGGATTCGTTAAATCTAATTAATTGGTGCAACTTGATTGGAAGGCCACTATGGAATATAAGAGATTGTTGGAATGAAGTTTGGGATATATATCGAAACCGTGCAGTTGTGTTTCAACATGTTTATCAAGAAGCTAATGATAGAGCTGACATTTTGGCAAAAAATCATGTTTATCTCCCAGAGATTATTTTTATTTCTGGTTTTGATATGTAATTTGGATGTAAGCAGGTTTATGTAATAAAAATTTCCGTACTCTTGGAAAAAAAAAAATAACATAATTTGAGTTTCTCAACAAATGTCCAAAATTCAGAAGGTCACCATTGAATCTTAGGATGCTATTTTCTTTCCAACCACAATCAAGGATGAACTTTTGCCTTCGTGATATTGGTGGCTTGGTTGTGAGCTCTCATCCCTAAAACTTGCGGTCGTACGATGGAGTTTTACATGGTGGCAGCATATAATATGAAGCGTCTATACTATCTTCGAAAGGGACCATATTGTACAATTACTCCCTCAAGCAAAAGAGTTGCTTTAGTTTATATTTTAGATATAGAATGTGGTTATTTACATAAACAATACGAAATGGCTTTTTCTCTTTTTTTTCGAGAAATTAAATTTTGAGTTTTTTTTTTTTGTAAAGAAAACCATAACTGCGCCTTGGCTAGTCCCTTGTCAGTCATTTCTATTTCCAAGCCCAGGTAAAGTTGTGTTATGTGGGTAGCCGGCATCAAATTTTGCTGCAACTTTTTATGAATCATGAATCGATGTAATCTGCTCATATCAGGGCGTTCCCTAAGAACACTTATGGTCTGATTGACAGTATGGCCCTTGATAAAGCAGAATGACAGAAAAATATTCGTATAGCAACTCCAAATAGTTGGGATAAAACTCTGATAATGATGATAATGAATTATTTAGTTTTTAAGACATGGATCTAACTTTTTTAAAATATGCATCTTTGTTCAATCCCATGATGTTTTCTTCCTCATGCTCATAAACGTCCAATTTAATTTTTTTTTCCCTTGAAGGTAATAGCTAGGTTCAAGATGATACATCTCAAATTTTTCATACACTTTTCGTGCCGATCTCGGGCTAGGCTACCACAGCTTCTTAAATATATGCATGCAAAGGTTTATATTTAGAGTAATGGGCCAAGATTAGGCATTGCAAAAGCCAGTCATAAGCATTACTAGGTAAGACACGGGCCGAATTAGTGATGGCGAGGCCCATGCCCAAACCAGTTGAAAAACATCGAGCCAGATTGGGCCTTATATAAATATTTAAAATATTTAAATATGTAAACATATAATTAAACAATTTTTGGATTGGGACAGGGTAGGGCTAGTGCTACTCTAAGCCTGACCTTAAAAATATTCACGACCTTCTAGGCTATGCCTGGGCCCAGACTGCAAGCCTTAAAATGTGACATGGTCCGACCCAAATGTGGGTGCCCGAAAGCCAGCCTACCGGCCCCGGCGCTGTAGCAACTTTGCTTATGCTTTATTTCTTTTGGTCCTCAAATTTATTTGAAATCTTTTGATTCTCTCTTTACTTCCGATACGAAATCAATTCATAAATTTTTGGAAAGCTAGAGAAAGAAAAGGGCAGTAGGGAGAGAAAGAAAATAAAGTTTGGGCTTCTAGAACCATTTTCACTTATCTAAGAGCTGGCAGATACTCTGTTTCCTCCTTTTTCTCTATCTTTAACTCCTTTTTCTCTATCTTTAAATACAATGACTAAATATTCCCTGGAGTTCACCCCATATGCAAAAATTTATGATTCTAATCTTCTAGAGAGATAAAAATAGGGGAATATATTCTTCAAATTTGGAAATTTCCCTTAGTCTTTATAAAGATCATTTTGCTTCAAATTTGGAAACTTCCCTTAGTCTTTATAAAGCTCATTTTGCTTCAAATTTGGAAACTTCCCTTAGTCTTTATAAAGATCATTTTGATATGTTTGGCTTAATAGAAGAGTAAATACCAATAAAACCTTAGTTTCTTGTAGGATTCGCAATGGGCCGGTGGGCCCAACCCCAAAAAATAGGGCCGAGGGGCTTGGCTAGACCAAGATAGACTATGTTTGGTTCGGCTCGGGCCCGTCCTCAGGGGAATATGGCCGGGCTAGGGCCAAGCTAGATCTGTTCCCAACCCTAGTTTCTTGGAAGGTTGGTGGTCCAAAGTTTTGTAGAAACCTTTTTTTTTTTTTGGACAATATTATGAACTTTGGAAGCATATTATGAGCTTTATTGGAAGCGTATTTTCGAATTATGAATATTGGGAGTCTTGATTGACGTTCATCCCTAATTTGTTAAGGAAGAAGTTTATATAAGGATGCTACCTTATAATGTTGAACTACGGATGCTCCTCAAAAATCCATCGAAAGAGGTAGTTTTAATATCGAAAAACCCTTTGATTGATCATTTCGACATCGAGATATATGGCTATGA